TCGGGGTCACGCGAGCGGGGTCGTCGATACGATTTCTGGGTCGGCGGAATTTCCCACGAGTAATCGAATCGCTGTCGAGCGCGCCCGTGTTAACGATAATGGCCACCGATAGCTCGCACACCCACGCGATACATTTCTCCAGGACCAGGTGTCGGCAAGTTTATTAAAAAGCATACATTCATACGTTCGAGGATTCGCTGAGCAGCAGACGGAGTTAACCCTGTCTCCAGGGCCCTACTGGAAGTGCACCTTTGCCAAGGAAATTTTATAATTTTTAAATTTAATTTCGAGGAATGTGTGATCGGGCGAGAATAATCTCGGCATGATTCATAGCAGCAGGATCGAACGTATTTCTTCGCCCGGGAAAGGGTTTAATTTTGATTGAGGAGATCGCAACTGTCCAGTGCAATGGATGAAATTTCACTTTGCAGCGCGTGTGAGGAAATTAAAAAGATTCGTTCGATTAATTGAAAGAAAGTAATTTTCTCGTGTGCTTTACAACTGTATATAGAATCTTAAATTCGAAGTGATTAAGTTTATTTTTAATTTGTAGATTTTATTCAAATGACATCGATATGTTTTTTTATCATTTACAGAGAAAAACAAAAATCTTTAATTCTCAAAATGATTCTCGAAAATGGAAAAAAAAAAATCATGAACAATCCAAAAAATTTTCCCTTTATAAAGTACAAATCTCATTCGCGGTGCGCCCAGATTGTTCGCCCGCTGTGAAAAAATAAGAGAGAAAAACGACGTCTACTTTTTTCGTGCGAGGCGTTTCGCACGGGTGCAGAGAGGGGAGGGGGAAGAAAGAAAAAAAAAGGAAAAACGGGGACGAGCTCGTTTCCCTTAGGCAAAACGCGTCTACGCGCGCTCGTTTCCCCGCGATATATCGATATTCGCGACACGTAAACGGAATTAAATTTCCCGCCGTTGGAAATAAGGAATGTCTAAATGAAAATCGACATTCCGCCTTCCTCGAAGGGGCGTAAAAGTGGATAGGGTAATCTCGATGACATAGTGGAAATCAGGGTATTCGCCTCCAATATATATTCCTTACCTTCGTGGAAGAGAGAAAGAGGGGAGTTTCGAAGGAGGCAGGGTGATCACTCACACATTCCTGAGAATCCTTTACGCGAGCATGTGGGTCACGATAGATTCTCGGGTCGGCGGAATTTCCTACGAGCAATCGAATAGACGGCGAACGTGACACGATAATGGACCGTCGAAGGAAATGTCAAGAGTACATCGATTACGGCAACGATATCGTCGTGGACGTCCACGATGATAGGCGTGTGAAGGAAGCTTGAGGATTTTTGCAAGACGATCTTTTTTATCGAAAAATTCGCGTATTTGGATTATTATTCTTGAGTATTTTTTATCAGGCTTTACATCTTTCGCTTCGTATTTCCATACGTAGAATAATTATCTGTATTTATGTTCAATCAACGATTAATTTTGAAAAATTTTCAAAAAACGAAAATTTTATAAAATTTACTGACAACTAATAATATATATTATATAAGGCGAAATATGAATATTAAATAATCAAGCAAACCAAGATTAATCTAGAAAGAACATCGAATCCCTCGAATAAAAAAATATGTTTCAAGATCGAGACGACAAAAGTCGAGCATACAATAAAGGCTAGAAGGTTTGGGTAAATGATGATCGGCAAAGGATGCCTGGTGAAAATTCATGGCATCGATGTTTCGCATGCGGAACTAGCCGCATTTGGCCGTGGAAACCGAGGCGAAACTCTTCTCGAGAATATCCTCGAATGTACGAAGAACGAGGGGCAATATAAGGGAAAAGGAAAAAGGAGAGGAGGAGGAGGCGAAAGCAGCGATTTTCCAAAAGTTATTCGCGGGGAAGGAGCCAAGTGCGGAGGGGGCCAAACACTGCGCGCTATCAAAACGACAGGTTTCGATGCTCGAGCAACTGTTATATTCGTATGCATGGACGTCTCCCCGACCAAAGTTGCCCGACCGCTTTTGGATCTCCGTGCGGTTTCGAGCCGGGGTTAGCAACTTTATTCGCCCCTTAAATTCTCGGCCCACTTGGCTCTAGCTTGTGTGCAAGATCCCGCGTGCCAACTGCACAGAAACTATCTCCGCCGCGACAATGTGCATGGAAATAAGGACAGCCTCGATGCCGCCTAATCGCCGACTAGCTTCACCCGGGATTTCCTTGATATTTCGACTCCTTACGAGTCGAGCATCTCTTCCTCGATTGCTCTGACTTGTATATAGGCGGAGACACGAATATAGGCCGAGTCTGATTTTCGAAGTGAATGCGATTTTAAGCGAGTTTTAGGTAACGTAACATTTTTGTTTCCTAGTTTTGATCAGAGAAATATATTAATCTCGTTTGATATTTCGAAATTTTGCGGTACATGATAAGTAAATTTAAAAGTAAATTGTTCTAAATGAATACAGATGTAATTATTAACGTACTATAGAATAATATAGAAGAGGTGAAATAATTCTGTGATAAAGTATTAAAAATTGAATTTTCATTTTATGCTACTCTTCGTTTGTGTAATTAGAATATTCGTATTATATTTATTTAAATTCAGCTTTGACTGTAACACAGATTCTTTGTCTCTCCATTCATGTACAATCAAATTAAGAAAAATAGATGTTAATTTAATTAAACTTCTTCGTGAAATGTGAATTTGAAGAATCATTGAGAAATCTATTTTAAACTCGTAAGAGATAAGAATTTCGAATGCGAATCAAGAAACTATGTATAGAAATATCTAACAACAATTTTACCGTCTATAAAAACAAGATACCGCTTCGCATGAAAAATCAATCGCAATCTCGGCCGTAAAATTTTCTCGTCGAAACCACCGATTCCCCGGAAAATCACGACGAGTCAAACCGAATCTGAGAGAACTCTATGAGATAACTTTGGTTTTCAAAGTTTTCATTCGTGTGACGAATAACAAAAGGAATTGAATAACAGAACGAACTAATGTATCCCTTTTTCTGAAAATTGAAGATTCGGATCGAATTGGAACGCGATCATCCTCGTTAAAGTGAATGGTTGGCCGAAAGGCCGAGTGCTTTCGAGACTCTCCGGTGTCATTGCCGCCACAAAAGAGGAAGTAACAGGTCGCGCGACCCTACTCGCCGCTTCCTGTGCTCTGGTTTCAAGAAATCATCCCCCTCGACGCGCTGAATTATTACGCTGCTTGTTTGCTGCTTGAAAGCGTGCAAGAGACCGAGGTACGAAACCGTGCTTTGATTGGGAGGGAGGAGGGAGGATGTGTGCGTACACGAGGGCGATTCTCAGGGATTTTTGCGGGATTTTTGGAGATATTTTGTTCGTTGTAAAATGTGATCCGGATATATATTTCTCGAGGAAAAATTTTGTTGCTGTTTTTAAATTATCCATTAGATTGTATTTAACGAAAAAAAATTGTTTTCTTACGAAAAATGTTGATCGATACGAGGGAACGCGTCATACGAAAATCAATATAATTCGTGTTGAGACGAATTCAATGATTATATCATATCGTTTCGTTTAATAAAATCAAAGATTAATGGGATCAAACTCAATGTTTATGAATGAATGTGTTGGCTCGATGTTTCGAGTTGTACGATTGTGTTATTAGATTGTTTCATCCAATTACTTACTACAGAAAGACAAGTTGTAACAAAAAATTAAATATAATCGTGTAGTAATATACACTTGAAATAATTTTAAAGAAATGATAAAATATTAAAATGAAAATTTTAAAATGAAGAGTTAAAATATAAATCTTTAAAAATATTATAATATATGCACGTATATAAACTTTTTCTTTCATTCTCAGCATTTTAAAAAAGAATTAGATTGCGCATATGGCACACTTTTTCTCCTGTGATTTTTTTATCGGTTCCTTTACCCGGCTTTGCAGCCTTTTTTGTTGCTTTCTATTGTGCCTTCTATTCTGATATAAGATACTCAGGTGCAAAGTGCTCCTTTTAAGCGTTCGTATCCTTTCTCCTTTCCATGATGTTCCATTTTCTATGTTTTATTTTCTCTGTGTACTCTGGTTCTACTCTTGAAATTCCTTCTATATCTGATACTTTGGTATCTTTTATATACGACAATTCATGTAAACAAATATTATATTAAAGGAAGAAATAAAATATGTAGATTTTTAAATCTATATTTAAGAGTTTAATCTGACAATTAATCTCTTTTCTAAAGTTTATACTTTCGTTTCAACTTTCAAAAACGATAAATTTACCCAATTTAAATTAAAATTATTACGAATGCAGGATTATTATATTTCTTTTAAAATCACAATGCGTCGACATATTATGCGATATAATAATTATTTTTCTAACTATTTCTTTCTTTTCAAAAATCTGTTATCATGAATGTCGATTTAGATTTCCGTCTGTTACCAATGAAATCTTTCTAAAAGACAAATATCTTCTATTTGCTCTATCTTCTTTTTCTGCTTAAGAAAGGGAAACAGAAATCCGATGATATGCGGGTGTTGTCCGTTCTGCAACTTTGTGAAATCTCCAGGGAATGAAACTTATCTGATAAATTATCAACGTTTCATCAAATCCAAGATTTGATATCTTCGTTATTGAGCCTCGAGAATAATTTGTAATAAAAAAATTTGATCACCTGAAATTATGCACCCAATAAGTAAATAAATTAAACACGTGTCACAAAACCTAATTTAATAATATATGAGTTATACGATACATCTTTCCACATTCATTTCTCAAAATCTGGAATATTCAAAAAATTCAATCTACAAACTTTCCAGCATCTTTTAAATCGCACCAGTGAATTTCCAATTTGCTTGTCAACGCAAACCACTTTTTCGATCCCCTTTTACAACTCGCGCAGATTTTGCGATTACTCTTTCGACAAACATCCAAGGAAGATCGTAGAAGATGGCGGAAATAACGCGCTGCAAACGAATAACCCACTGAATTCAAAGATAGGGAGACGCCGAGTATGATTTTATTATTCATCGATTCCAGACGCAGAGGCAACGCGGCCGATATCCTCCCCCAGGGGCTATTTAACAGCGCAGCCAAGAAGCAGGGGGTGAAGGTCGACGATAGCTGCGCCACGCACACGTACACTGGCGGAGAGAGGGAGGAGAGAGAGAGAGAGAGAGTGGCGGACACACAGAAGGCAGGTAAGTTTAATATCTTCATGTAGCAAAGCGTGCACGAGCAACTAGAAAGAGGAAGGAAACCAAGAGATTATTGCTTCAATATTGCCTCGGTGTCAGGCGTCGTAGGAACGTCTGTGTGTATCCTTCCGTTCCTCTACACCCCCTTTTCGAGCACTAACACGAGGGGTTGCGGACCATCAGCCTTGGCCAGTGGAAGATTAGATCTGGAGTTAAAAAAGATCGATCATTCTTTTTCGATGGAGTGGCTATTGTTTATAATTTTTAATCCAAGAATTTTGGGATTTTCTCTAAGAAAAGGATTTTTTAAAATATTCAAATATCGCGGGTTTTCTTTTCCAGTTAAAACAAGTTCCCAACTCGTTATTCAATATGTAAAAAATATATCGTATCAGATTTTTATAAACTTTTTCTCATGATTTTTTGATAAATCGTCTATTTTAAAGATTCAAATCATTAGAGATAAATTATAACAAATCGTGTAAAACTTATTTCGTTTCAATATCACGTTAGATATTTTTCTGCTACAGATGAAAAGTATTTAGAATTTTTCACAATATAAATTTGCATAAAAATCCACGATTATCATTTTTATTCATTCATTTTTAGCGATTTTATCGATCTTCGAGTTTCATTTAGCCCCTAAAACCCAGAATCCGAAATTTGCTCGAGCTCGTCTCGAGGCTATCGCTAGCCAACGTCTCACCGCTTGAATATACGCGAGTATGTGTGTGGTTGCACCGTTATTAAGCCATCTCTTACCCAGTTATATCGTCTCTGCCTGGCTCTTTCGCCCGCGTCTTGCGTTCGAAGCCTCGTCCGGACCAAGAATCACGAGAATGTGTATATTCTGCTTGGGAACTCGATTGGGCCAACTTATGTCCCAGGTTAAAGGATTATCTGACACTTGGCAGATTGGCTATAATGCATTTTAGGGGGGAGTTCTATTCTATTTTCTTAACCCCCAGAGCTTCGAGAAATTCGGGCATGTTTGCGTTGTTTAATCGACATTGCAGAGAAGGAAACTTTGGATAAATAGTTTGTGAAACCGTCTTCGAAGAAAACGCTTCCAAGATCGAATGAAGTGGTTCAACAGTCTGGATTCAAGAATAAATTTTTACCGTGGAAATTCACGGTGATGACGATGTTGCTTCCCTTCTAATCGAATTAACATTCTTTCGATTAATCGATCAAGTTGAAGACACATCCTCTTCGCGTTTGTAAAACCTTCTTGCTGACAAGGATAATGAAAATGGACTATTGGAGACTCGCCAGATCTTATAATTTCTTCGGTTGTGCAAAAAAAGAAAAAGCTTCTAAAAAGTAGCCTTCTCGCTACTTTTCCTGCTATAAAAATTAATTAAAATCAATTAATTAAAAGTTTCAGAATCCAATATGTTGCGATGAATTTCCCTAATAATTCATAGAAACATACGATTACGAAAACCTCGGAATCTCATTTGCTTGATGGCCGAGGACAAAGTGAGACCGCGTCTCGTATAATTCGGACAAATGAAAGTATCCAGCTTCTTGGAACGTGTCCAACCGTTCTCCTCCTGATAAAACGTATCCGAAAAACATAGACCCGCGCTAATAATCCGTAAGAACTTATCTCTTTCCCGAAATCCTTCGATAAAGCGTGGAACCGTTGATGAATTAGCGGTGCTCGAGCGGGAATCAACAGAGAGAGAGACAACGATGCCAAATCTCGGAGTATCGAGCGCCGTTTCCACGAGCCCCTCCATTACGGTGAACACAAAGAAAATCCTGCAAAAAGACCGGTACTCGTCGATTGGTGGCCGAGCTCTTTTCCCGATCGGGGGAATGGACTAGATAGGGAGGGTGGGCGGATCAATCGTCGTTGCGGAAGTGCGTTGATTTAGCAATCAGAGCAATGAGAAAGGGGTAGGAGAGAGAGGGGAAGGGCAGTGTAAACGTGGATGGAAAGACGAGCAAGACGACACGAGGAAAGAGAGAGGAACGAAAAGGGTACGCATAGAGGGATAGTTGGGTTCGATGGGGGCTGGGATGGAGGGTTGAGAAGAGGGAAAAAGGACCGTGCGCCTCTAGTAATTACGGTCGGTACAGCGGAATCATTTGTTTGCGCATTGTTGCCGCAAAGCATTGTTGCGCAGCGAAACGTTCCACCACCATCGGCCATCGTCCCTCCTCCCTCGCCATAAGGCTCGATTCATTCGTTTCTGTTCGAACGGTCGGTATCCGGATTTCAAACGCATTGTATCCTTTGCAGGCCGACTTCCAGTCTTATATTGCGATTTGTACATATGTGTGCGTGTATGTATTTATATATTGTTGAAAGGAAATTAGAATAAAAATTTTCAAAATTTTCAGAGCGTTACGTTTCTAATTTAATTCGACGTCGAATATTTACAGGAGGGGGGAAAGAATTTCGAGAATATCGGAAATAGGATGCAACTCGCAAGCAAATATAGCCTCCTTCTTTCTTGGAAATCGAGCACTCTCGAGGTAACATCCCCCTTTAAGCGTTGAATATTCGCTAGAACTTCATACGAATTTTTTTTTCTCGGCTCGTTCGTTTGTCCACCATCGTAAATATTGAATATCCATTACGAAATATTGCGGGAGGTATCGAATATTCGAGATGCAGGGATCGATACGGTTCGATAGGCCCCGGCCCGCTTCCGGGGAAAATTGCTTCGCCGGTTCTGCTCGGCATCTTCGATAATTAATACGGCTCGAAACTGACGCGGAAATAATGGAGAGACTCGCGAGCCAGGTATCATCGACCAGGTATTTTCGGCGTTCAAGTGTGATGCCGTCCGCGTCTTTTTGCCCGCCCGTGTCTCGTGTTCGACTCGGTTCGTTGTCAAACTAGGGAAATCGTTAGTTAAAGGTAACGATTAATTGAACGTGGAATACCGAAGAATTAGTCAAACTAACATTGGTGTAAAATTAGTGTCAATGGCAAGGAATATCCTTTGAAAATATTAAAATAAAATTGTACGAAATGGAAGAAGTGTGCATCAACCAAACCAAAACATGACTTTTTAATATACCGTCAAAGTATTCGTGAATTAATTTACATTAATTTAAATTTAATTTCCATTCAAATCAAAATAAAATAAAATTGATTATTAACCAATTTAATGGTTTGCAACTTGTTTTCTTAATTTGGCCGCAATTGGTCGGCATCAATTGTCTGCAGCAATAAAACGCGATTAAAACTAACTTGACCTCCACTTTAACCTAAACTGTTTCGAAGAAACGTTGGGTCAACGAGCGACTCAAGGCGATGACTCGTAAAAAATGATGACGATCGATAAATAATCAAAAGTAGAAATTAAATCCGAAGCGCGTTGAAAGAATTTCAGAAGAGCGAATAACAAGTCTTCCAATCTTAACCAGAATTCCCCGCATCATTTCTATTCATACAAATTTCATTGCTCGAAATACATGAAAATACATTCTCCCATCCTTTAAGCGTCTCGTCTGTCTCGTTAAAGATCGAGGGGATGAAAGACGCGTACACCAAGGATGGAAATACGAAGTTGCTCGTTGGTTGAAATTAGCTTGATCCACTCGGTGGAAGCGGGTCAAAGGTGGGTCCCCAAGGATATATTACTCGAAAACTCGAGCTGATTGAAGCGCATACCGATGAAACTCGCGCTCGAGGCTGCAACGAAGAGAGAGAGAGAGAGAGAGAGAGAGAGCTTGAATTTTCGAGCAAGTTCCACTCGTGAATTGTCTGGCTTGTTGGCTTGCTACTTGAGTCAAAAGCGAGTTCGATGGATCGATTTAACGAGGAGCACGCGTTTAATCGGGAGGGGGGTTAAAAAAAAATATTCAATTACTGGGGAGAATCGAGTGGCGCGTTGTTAATAAAAGGAAATGAAGCATAAAAGTGGACGTTTCTCGTGGGGGGGGAATCCTGTATCTGCGTAGCGTGGCTGTTTGTAAAAATGCAAACCTTGAAATTTAAATCGCCAACTTTTTGTGGATTGTTGTACGTTGCATTGCGCGTTGCATGCAAAAGAGACGAGGACTTTTAGGGGCCATTACTATGCGTCCGTGAAAAATGTAATCCCGATAAAAAATAGACGCTTCCTCTTGAGAATCTGCAGCGGAGCACTTATCTCTTTTTATTCTCCCGTCTTTTTTCCATTTTTCTTTTCTTTTTTTGTTAGAGAGAGATCGTAGGCAATCTTTTCCATTTTACTCCAAAGCTTTCTATTTTGAGCATTTTTATCCGCTCGATTCCGCTTGTAAAATAGGACGACGATACTTGAAAATTCAAAGCTCCTCTCTCATACTGTTTTTCGTAGGCTTTATATATATTCGTATAATTTACGTGTCTCCTTCTCGTGCAAAATTTATTCTGCATCGATTTCGAAGACTCGATACGCGGAAGCAGATTTACAGAATTGACAGGGACAATGCGAAATTCCTTTTGTCAAGATTCAGTCGACGATTTTTCGAGAACAAATATTCGTCGAACGATGAAGCGCACGATGAATTCCGTCCCAATGTTTCGTCCGTTAAATTTTATCCTTCGTGAAACGAACGGTATTTGGTGGAATGTTTTTTTCTTCTTTGCAAAATCATTTCTTTACCTGTTCTTTCGTTAATTAATAATGAAAAATATAGCTTGCTTTTGCAAACTTCGTCATTAAAATCAGCAAAGTTAAGTTTCGCCAATCAGATCCTCCGAACTTTTGAATTGGATTTTTCAGAATTGTGAATTCATATTTAAATTATTTATTTTCAAAAATTCTTACAAATCGAAGCACGTCAATGCTTTTTTCAAAAATTTTTTTACAGCTATATATTTTGTTGTAGAAAATATCTATTTTATCTAAATACAGATACAGATCTTTTGAAAAAATGTTATGAAAATAGCGTTTTAATAAAATTTGTTTACTATAGTTTGTATGATGAGATATATTATAAAACATTAATGATTTTATAATAAATAGATAATGGAATCATACGAAGATTCTTTTTAAATAAGATTATGTAATTTTTAATATACCAATTTATTACTCATTATTTTCTACAAAAAAAAAGTACAAACTTTTTTATAAAAAGTTATTTACATCGAAAAATTATTAGTTTAAAAGATATAATTTAAAGTTCATATAAACTTACTATATAATATGAA